AAAAAATTGTGCATATATAAAAGGCTCTAATCTTGCTTCTTAAAGAACTCTTATATCAAGATCAGCAGGCAAGTAAGTCAAGCAAGTTATTGACATCTTAACTTTAGGAGAGCAACGAAAACACTTCAACAACTTCAAAACAATAAAGCTGAAAAGACACACTTACCAATCAGAGCAGGAAAACTTAAAGAGAAAGTATTTGCGAGTCACAGCTGATGGCCTTGTGTTGAATACGTCTGCCGTCTTCCACTAGCGCATAGCGACGCGTGATGGGCGTGTTTTTAAGGTACAAGACAAAGTACAGTTTGCCCATGGAGTAGGGCAAAGAAGAGCTGGAATCAAAAGCATCCGAACAAAATTTCCACGCAATTCAGTCAGTTTCAAGAAGAAAGAGATGTGTGTGTCAGAAGAGGATGCTGAATCTTATCTCCTTTACTGTCAATTTAGCGGCGACTTCATATTCTCACAATATGCTGTCCTTGAACGCCTTGGAGGAGAAACATCAGAATGTGAAAGATTTAAGTTAGAATCGGAAGCGCATTCGACAGTTGAAGCACAGTGACAAGCGGCCAAAATTAAAAGTCTGTCCGCAAAGTGACTTGTTAATTAAACAGCAAGCCATGAAGGAGCCACCGCAAACGACAAAACACTCTGAAACATTGAGTGCACGCTGCCAATCGGTTTAATAAAACCTAAAGCCTTCATGATTTTCCCAGTGTATTATACCACAATCTGTGCCAATTTAACTTACACGTATTGTACACTTCCTAACTGATGCGTGCCATGAACTGCATCTTTCTAGTTTTTTGGTAACGATGTATGATGTCAATTTATACTTACTTATTTCTTGTTTATTTGTTACTCATGTCTCGAGCTTACGTTTTGGCACCTTTCGCCCTTTTACTTGTTGTACATGTCTTTGTTAGCCCCCCTTACTCAATGCCCTAACCAAGGGCCTGTAAGGTACCTGTAAATAAATAAATAAAATAAAATAGCTTGCACAATGGCTTCAAATGAAACCAGTTGGTAGTCCACGCTGAAATTTTCCGTTATATCTCTTCTTTTGTGGTGTCCTTTCTTTTTCTACAACTCGCGCCTTCATTATAAGTCACCATAATTATCCAACCCATCCCTCGAGACATGTTTAAGTGACTTCCGGACACCACATGATGCAAAGCAATGTAAAAATGCCACTGTTTATAGTCCATTCTATTCCGATTTTAAAGTTAGTCACCACTGATAAAAGCACATGCGCACACCAGCAACATTTTTTTTATAACCCAAGTCAAGACTCAGCTTTCACGGGAGGCCCTTCTTTCTATTATATTTCAAATGAACAGCACTGTCTGCTCAGCCAAAATTTTCCAAATATTTCTCGCTGGCATGGGTCAACAAGGATGCTGAAGTAGAGAAGGTTTTAGTTGAACCAAGCAAAACATGGAGCAAAAGTGGAACACTCGCGGCTGCAGACTGTCCCTGCATCTCCTAATTGGTTCACTTTCAATTACTCATCTTGTAGTGACTACGGCCGCTTGCGAGGGAATGTTAAAACTACACATCTTCAGAAAAAAAGATCTAGTGCAGGAGCTGCAGGCAGCCATTGCCAGAGCAATTTAAAGGCACTCAACTTCTATCAAGCTCAGAATGGGAAACTGTCCAGCTATTCCGTAAATGGTTCAGCTCCATTTGTTTAGCACTGTAATGTGCTGTTTGTTGTACAACAGACATTCTCATACGGTGAAATTTCATAGTATTGCAACACTGCATGGCACACAAGCAATACTGGTGGCACCCGAAAACTTTTTGTAGCATAGGTGCAATGATGACAAAGGTGCAGAATCTGAAATGATGTACGTTGTTTGACCTAACCATGCATAAGCAGCCTGTACGTTGTTAAAGTGGAAAGTTTGGCCAGTGAGTACGGATTCACTATGGTGGGAATGCCTTCTAGCATTTTGGAGCAGCTATGGGAGCAGGCAAAATCTGCTTTTGGAGCAGCTACCTCTGTGTTTGGAGCACACATGGGCTTTCCGTGACACACACACAGAGGAAGTAACTTTAGCTTTAATATATTTTAATGTTCCCTTAGATAACATATTCTTCATACAGAAGCAGCAAGCCCGCAAAATAAGTACAAAGAATAAACAAAAGTAGGATTATGTACAGAAGTGGTGACATAAGATAGTGAAGGCTTTTTTAAATATATATTTTTACCTTGGTGAGCACTGCATAAATTTTGTCCATAGTAAAGGATATTGCAACAACACAGAGACGCACACATATTTAAAGGAACTGTCTATTCCTCAGAAAAATTTTTCTGATTGTGGTGCAAATTAAACGATTGTTCATCACATCGGCAACAACGAGCACGCTTTCGTGCCAGAAAAAATTATTTTCACTTGATGTTTAAGGTCAACAAAAAATTACCACTAGCGTCCCCCAACAGCGCTTGCGGTTCAAACAAATGACAATCTATTGGTAGAACAAAAAATCCTCGCAGGTAGACTTATTTTGCTTAAAAACAGACACGTTTAACTTGAATGTGTATTTTATGCACTTGAGGCATCTTTAGGTTACGCCAGAGACCAATTTTTGCTTTTTTTTGCTCACACCTTCAAATAGGTGCCTGGTGGCGCTGCCAACGGTGTGTTCGCTTGCCTGCATGCCCGCCTTCAAACGGCAGAGAAGCACAATCACGGCATCCGCCGCCACTCACGAGAACAACAAAAAAGTGTATGCATGCCTAAAACGACCCGCTAAAGTATTTGTTTTATTAATAACCAAACTTTATGAACCCTGCAAAAACCGCACGCGGCTTCAGTTTTGGGTTTTCACCAGCACCGACCATAGTTGTGGGCATTCATCCCACCGATCGAAGGAGATATAATGCGAACAGAAAAATTCTGTTTTAAAATTTTTTACGCACTTTCCACAGAAACCGCTGCAAGGTTAGACACTTCACATGGTACGCTTTTCATTGCGACAGAAAACAGGAGAGCGATGAGGGACGATAGACAGTCCCTTTAAGCCTCGACGCAGTAAAACCTCGGTAATACATACATACATATCGAGAAGCTGCCGGACGCAGCTAACTACGCAATAAACTTAGAATGCATTGACCACTAAGTACATAAGCGTGCGCAGGGTTTCCCTTCAAGGGGGGGGGGGCAAAGGTTTGTGACAGCGACCCCCAATGTCGTATAGGGAGCTTTCGAATAGCGTACGCAAAGCTTTACAGTAGCGTTCTGCGCCACTGCCCATGTGTGGTACGCTAACCACTTGAGGGCCCCCGCTAAGTGACGAAAATAGCGGGTGGCCGCAAAACCTGCTAACTTAGCGTACACTATTCGAAAAATCCCTAATGTATGAGGCTGACTTTACGGTCCCTTCTCGCCCCTCCTCTCTATTATGTCAATGTATAGAACTGGCTTCCCCCCTCCCCCACTTCTTGTGCACACGCCTATGATCAAGTACCCATTTGTATTTCTTTACGTGTGCCATCACTGCTAAAGAAGGAAGAAATACCATGCCACAGCAAACATTGTCTTAAGTGCCCATCATGAAGCCATTTTTTTCTTCTTGCCAATGTTCAGAAATAGTTGGCATTCTCGCATGACCATCCGATGGCACGTGGTAGCAACATTTTAAAACTACTGCGAAGTCCAAGATACGCAGCCAACACAGTGACTAACGGACATTGTCGGCTGTCCGCGATAAATGTGTACCGCGATCTGCTACTTCACGAAAACCACCACTTCCTTTGGGACGCGGTGTGGTCGCAGGGAGCCGATCGTCTACTGGCTAGTTGCATGCAGCGCTTTGCCTACTTGGCGTACACATCGTGCTGAGTCACTTGCACTGACTACGCTTGACCGTGCACAAATGCAATGAGAAGCCTCTTGCATTAAGCGCAATGATGCGAGCTTCTGCAAGCGATGCTCTAGCGGTCCTTGCAGCAGATGGAGACGCGTTCGGGCTGTCGCCTCGTGAAACGTGTGCTACGCTAGCCGTCTCGGTGCCCGTGATTCACAATAGCTGAACTCCGCAATAGTGGGCTGCTTTAGTTTCTGCAAGGTGGTACACGCTGAACGGTCCCTCACAACGATCGGGGTGGCAGTGATTGGGGCCTCAAGGCTCTCAGATAGTCGACGGCTATTAAAAGCAAGCACTCGGCATAAAGCAGCGCTGTGCCACACACGTCGCTTTTTGTCAGTGATAAGTCATACTGGAGCACTTTTAGAGGCTTCGCCAAATGGCCTTCATTCTTTAGCAATGGTTACCAGAAAGGGACTGCCATAATCACGCGGAAGCCAGAATAATTGATTGGCCGATTTCGTGCTTTTTGCAGCAGCACAACTGTGCAAGATGGCGACCATCATGTAATATCCGCTCACAATGCGTACTGTGAACATTATTTTCAGTTCCAAAACCACCTTGTGGCACAGCAATGGCACAGATTAGACAAAAAATAAAATAAAGACCCTTTTGGAGCAGTATGGAGCAGTAATTTCCAGCTGGCACAGGTTGGCACAGGTTTCCCACCACTGGATTCACGATATTAAACTACACAAGGACGGCTTGAAAAAAAAGAACAGGACAGTCATCAACTTACAACTGTACGTAAGCACCTGTCCTGTTCTTTTCCAACCCATCCCTTGTCCCACGTGCTGCTTATCATCACAAGTCAGTACACTGACGATGAATTTTAGTTTAGTGCCTTTCGTCGCACTGCATGGCAGGCAAGTGCAGTGAGCGTGGAAAATTTCGGGCAATCACGAAGCACGAATGGCAGATAGACATAGAAACAGAACCGTTCTATGCTGTAGCAACTTACAGCTTAACTCAATAAAGCATGCTTTGCTCAGACCGAAGCTGCAGCTGCACATCATGACACATTCAATGGTACCTATTGGTGATAAGCACATGGTACTATGATGTTAATTTATCAACATGTCGCCAATAGGAGAGTAGTATAAGTGGAATTAATACCCATACCACTATTGTGTTCGCACTCATTTATTCGGCATAGTCTGTTTCAATGACAGGTACTTCAGCAAAATTGTACATCACTTGCACCCTTTAGTCATACTCATGCATTCCATTCACGTATTGTGTGGGCTTGGGCATTCTCCTGACAATGCGCAAAATAGGCCTTTAAACATTTCAGGATATATAGAAATGCTGCTATAGCAAAAACATTTGTTGATGTCACTGTCAAAACATGTGAATCTCAATCGTTTCATATTTCAATTGTCACATTATTGACACACGTGAAACTATACAAGATCAAGGCCTGGTATGCGTAGAGATGAGCTTCCTGCCCATAGATCAGGCTCAGATGTTGGCTGCTGTGATGACTGCCCCCAAAATTGCAAGCGCTGTTCAGGCCTCTCTCCCAACAAACTTGACCTGTCCTCAAGGAGGCCTGGCGTGTCACATAAGAGGCTGCGTCTGCTCCTTGCGAAGTTAGGACTGCCATCACGGAGGCTTGGCCTATCTTCGAGGCGACTAGGTCTGCTGCCTAGGAGGCTAGTATTGCCATCATAGAGGCTTGGCCCGTCTTCCAGTAAGCGTGGCCTGTCTTCCAGCAGACTTGGCCTGCTCGCTAGTGGGCTAGGCCTGCCAGCATAGGGGCTTGGCCTGTTTTCCAGTTGACTTGGCCTGCTCCCAAGGAGGCCAGGTTTACCATCATAGGTGCTTGGCCTGTCTTCCATGTGAATTGGCCTACTTCCTAGAAGGCCAGCCTTGCCATCATAGAGGCTTGGACTGCCTTCCAGCAAGTGTGATCTGTCTTCCATGTGAATTGGCCTGCTTCCTAGAAGGCTAGGCTTGCCATCATAGAAGCTTGACCTATCTTCCAGTAAGCCTGGCCTGTCTTCCAGCAGACCTGGCCTACTCCCAAGAGGACTAGGTCTGCCATCATAGGAGCTTGTCCTGTTTTCCAGTAAGTGTGACCTGTCTTCCAGTTGACTTGGCCTGCTCCCCAAGTGGCTAGGTCTGCCATTATAGGAGCTTGGCCTATCTTCCAGTAAGTGTGGCCTGTCTTCAGAGTGACTTGGCCTGCTCCCCAGTAGGCTACACCTGCCATCATAGGGGCTTGGCAGGTCTTCCAGTAGACCTGGCTTACTTCCAAGAAGGCTGCGATTTTCTCCAAGAACACTTGGCCTTTCTTCCAGAAGCTTGGTCTATCCCCTAGAAGACCTGGTCTGCTTCCAAGAAGACTGGGTTTTTCCACAAGGTGGCTTGACCTGTCATCCAGAAGACCTTGCCTGCTTCTAAGAAGGTTGGAATTCTCACCAGAGTGGCTAGGCTCATCCTTTACGAGTACTGGTTCTTCCCCTAGCAGTGGCACAGTGCTTGATGGTGTGCACAACGCTGGGTGGTTCCAGTCATGCGAGTCTTGGGAGCCACTGCTCCAAACTGGCGGGCTGTGCACTGCACCAGGCCATTTGATGCCAGCCTTCCCTAACGACTCCTGGGAAAAAACAGCATCTGCATCGACTTGCCCAAAGAACTGACCACGGGAAAAAGACTCAATGATGGTATCATCACCCGCTATGGGGCCTCGGAAAGTAGGCGTACCTTCCTGAGACAGAACAGGCAGGCTGCTAGACCATGATGCGTCAGTGTCATCATGAGTTTCAACAGGCCCATCCAGGAGTGGGATTTTGCCATCCCAGTGCGAAAAGGACATGAAACTGGAGATACTGGACTCCACAGAAGGGCTGTCCTTCTCCCAGTCATCCTTCTCCCGATTCACAGTGACGAAAGCAGGCTGTGCATGGCCACGATTTCGAGCCTTCTCAAGCTGTTCTCTTTCCCATTCCTCGTGTGCCTTCTTCACAAGGCTAAGTCGTTCTTGTGGCTCCTCATAATCGTAGCTCTTGGGCCGACGGGGATCTTCTGGTTGTTTTTTCACTTCCGTAACACTAGGGTGCCACTGGACAGACTTGGCTGTCTTTCGTGAAATGCTTTCCTGTACCTCAACAGCACGGCGCTTGTTCTTCTCCCGCTCTTCAATCAGCTGGCGACATTCGTCAATCATGCGCCTCAGCGCAGCCTTCTCTGCCTCGAGGTGCTGCTCCTCGCGCAGCTCTGCAATAAGGCGGCGCTGCTCTTCGATCTCCTGCCGCCGCTGGGCCAGCTGTGCTTGCAGTGCTCGCCGTTCGAGAGCCACGGCTGCCAGCTCGGGCATCTCTTCTTCATCCTCTTCATTTCGACGCTTACCACGTCGCCATTCACGTCTGTCGGAACTACTGTCATATGGCCCAGCACGTTTGTGCCTAGTGCTTTCTTCCGACCTCCTGGCAGGCGCTGGAGGCACTGGCTGCAAGTGAGATAAGTGCGCTCAGATTCTGGGCTGGGGCCACCGCATGCAATAAAGTCATGGCACCTATTGCTCCAGCATCGCGAGATTGCAGCTTGCACATAAAACGTAATAAACTTGCTAATCAGGGTGAATTTTATTTCTGCACACTGTACATACTTTTTGCTGAATGAATGCAGATAATTTAAGAATAGTACAGCAGTAGAGTATGCCCACATCTTTTTTTCTTAGATACTAAAAGGCTGACCCATTCGGGGTGACATCTACACAGCATACACTGTTGTTATAAGAGGTTGATTAAACATGGAATACTTATATTGTATATATGGTCACATGCTCATAATTGCCCTGTGTACTTGTTTTGAGCGACTGTGTTAGAAGGAGTTTTTTCCAGAAAATGAAAATACCAGCATGCTATGTTATGCCATTTTCAGGAAGTTGGTTGAGGAGCATAAATGCGGATCTTAGCTGATGCTTCCTAAAGTAGCAAAGTTAACAAGTTCTGCTGATAAAGTCTTGGTGACATAAAATATTGCCTTGGCATGGCATGTTACTGTTTTAAACCCATAACACAACTGCACAACTACAGCCTAAATGCGAGCGCGACGGAACAAACCCAAGTGCACGAGTCGTTTGCATGCATATGTGAAGTGCCAGTAGTGCAGTGTACAAGGCAGGAGCAAAAGAAACCTGTGTGATGGCGGAAAGTCTGTGTACATGCTGCAGACCTGGCTGCCAACAAGGACGTGTGACCAAGCTCCCCCTTGGCTTGAAAGGAGCGCATAACCACACGAAGGGAGGTTGCCCCTACTCTGTTAATGCCTCCTGTTCGAAGGTTATCAAACATATTGTGTAGCCAGCTCCTTGGACTTGCCTGCTAAACTACAGAGATGTTAATTGCTGATCATTCATTTTCCAATACCTCATCACATATGCCAAACCCTATCCAATGATCAACCTGGTTTATGTTCCATGCATGACTGCCAAGCTCACTCGACATTGAAACATGAAAAGAAGAGAAATTTCTGTCTGTAGGTCCCATTCCACAAATTATACCACAACTTCTCTCACTTACATGAAACACTGTTACTTCCACCCTCTCGAACTTCTCGCCGCCTGTTCAACTCCAACAGCGTTAAACGCCCTCAGGGTTTGACCCTTTCATTCAATAAATCATTTCTGCCGGCAGCCATCGAAGACTGCAGTTGCCTTCCTAACGCCATTGCCCTTGAGATGAACTTCAGAAAAATTTAAGCAATCTATAGGCACGTTTTTTTATTAGACAACTTCAGCTATGCACTTTGATAATTGCATGCATTTTTATAACTGCTACAATTATTTATAAATCAACTGGTTTAAATTGTTTGTAATTGCCCTATGCTTTAAATTTTCGCTCACTCACAATCTTGTGTCAACACCTTTTTTTCAGCAATCATTAGTACTGATGTGCTCTGTATTTTTCTGCATTTCTGAAGGGTGTTGTATGTAGAGTTTGTCTAATCATACATCCCACGAACTCTGTATACCCCCTCCCTTATGTAATGCCCTGTTCAGGGCCCTTAAGGGTTAATAAATGATAATAAATGATGATAATGAGTTCATTCAAATAATTAGTTCATAACAGCTAGATCATGAGTTATCATCCACAATATTTCCAACCACATGGCTGTGTGCGGCAATATATCAAGTGAAAAGTGACTGCCATAATAAGCCGGGCAAGAAACAAGGTACCACAGTATAAAGGGCTAAAATGGCCAGGTAACATCCTAGCTGACAGTGAGAGGAATCGAAACGAGTTGGGCTACATTTGTGGGTTGTGTACAGCGAGCAAGCAGCAGCAGCAGAATGAGTGCAAAGCAAAGGAAATCGACCCTTACAATGACACAGCCCTATCACTGCACAAAATTTGCAAGCCCAAGACAGAAAAGAGCAAGTGAGGATTACTATAACGATGCTAGTAAAATAGAGTGTCTGTAGCCAAAATGTTTTGGAGAGGCACTGTACAGCATCAAATGTCATGTGAATACATACAAATAATGGTCACTAGCAGTCATTGATACTGGTATCTGTTCATCAACAGGGGCAATTCGCTCAGAACAAGTGATACAATGCTTAGGCTTTCAGCTATTTCTGCATTGAAAAGGGTGCCTCGCATTGTGTTCACAGTGTTCAAAAACGGTTTTGTCTCACGAACGGTGCAAATCCTCCTTTCCGCCGCAGTAAACCCTACACAGAAAGGCAGCTGAGAGAGAGAGAGGCTTACCTTCAAGGCAGAAAGAAACTTGTGTTTCTTGCTCTGGACATGCTGCAAAGCAGATGGAACACTGTTGGCACACTCAGGTTGCATAACCAATTCAAGAGCAAGCTACAAAAGGCTGCACTGCGTGGCTGTGAGGAGTTGCACGAGGCGTGCTTTTCTCGCTGCCACCCAGGAAGACTTCTCCAGATACAAAAGAGTAACTTCATCTGCAATCTTGACGTACTGCTGCTCCTGTGCACTCATGCCACTATGTTGCTAAGCAGGAGGTACCGAACTTAATTTTTAACCACTGCACTGAAAAACCAGCCTATGGGACATGGCCTGGAAGTTTAGTCTACTTTAGTCTACATCACAACAATCGATTCCCAGCTCTGCACACGTTCTAGGCGTGCAGTCCTACCTGGCACTCAAAATCTTCTGAAATATAACAACCTGTTCTCAAAAATGTGAAATAAACACTGTTCATCAGAAAAGTGGCATGTTCACAAGTCTAATTTCGATAATTTTGCCATTCCTTTTTTGTATTTTTTTCCCCAGTATCCCTTTAGGTAACCTTCCCTGAGCAGTTGCTTTCTGCAGCTTCCAGAAGATGTTTGCTTAATGAAAACAAAAAGTCAGCATTTTTTTTTCAGACACAGCAACTAGCAGTACAGTGTTGCAATGAGAGATAGCAACAATGAAACATGACCTTTCTGCAACATTTATGCAAGAAGAAATCAACAGTAAGTGCACGAGTACCTCACCTTTTTTGAACTTCATAGATATTTTTCACCGGATTTTCAGAATGTGTGAAATAGCAAGTTGTGCAAGCCAGTGGCATGACTCACTTAGCGCTAGCAGCTCTCTAACTGCAAACACAATGGATTAATATGCCTGGTAGGCTCACCTCTTCCATGGCTTCATTTGATTCCAGATCCATTCGGCAGACACTGCAGTGAAGAGTCTTTGCCGTCCTAGCTGCAGTGACCGTCTTCGTTGCTTCTGGCTTCTTCCCGGTGGCAGCTTCTTCGGCACGTGGTTCTGTCTTGACATTCTGTGCGTAGAAGGTGTTCCACAACCTCAATGTATCGGAGCGAAAGTAAGAACAGTGTGCAATAAAAAGAAAGTGCCACTGACTGTTCACTAGATTTAACTGAAACGAGTGCTGTTAACTTCATTGAACCAAGCTTCTGAGGAGCTTAAAAACAACTCGTCTAGCTTTACTCTGCCGGTGTGGATATTTGCGGAAAAAGCAAAGAATAAAGAAGTAGTTTGCAAACAAAAGTTCCATGAAAAAAAGAAATGTTTTGTAACTAAAACTAACAATATGAAACTGACCAATGTGCTATTATGTTTGCAATGCTATATTTGAAGTGCAGTGCTGCATTTCGTTCGTGTTATATAATGAAAGATAAAAAACTTCAATTTTATTCTTTGGAGCACCTTATCCGCATTCTTCTCCTTCATTTTGCCAAATGGTGTACAACTTTTCGATTCAGGTGTACAACTACACAGGAACACTCAGTAAATCAAGTAATGGCTATACCTATTTTGTTCGTAGAGCTCAGAAAAAAAACATACTGACATAGTTTATAAACATACCTACACGAGCAAGCTCCTAGCACCTACTCTTACACGTGAGTGCTTATCTGAAGACTAGTGCACAAACACATTGTAGAAAAAACTGGCACAAAGTGCCGGTTCTAGACCCACAAATCCACACAGCACTCAACAAATAGTTTTCATGTAACATGTATGAAATGCACGAGAAAAAAAAAACATACTGACATAGTTTATAAACATACCTACACGAGCAAGCTCCTAGCACCTACTCTTACACGTGAGTGCTTATCTGAAGACTAGTGCACTAACACATTGTACAAAAAACTGGCAACGAAGTGCCGGTTCTAGACCCACAAATCCACACAGCACTCAACAAATAGTTTTCATGTAACATGTATGAAATGCACGATTTTGCAGAATGCATGAATCGGCTTTCTAATCTCCCTTTTGACAAAATGAAGGAGAAGAGGGCTCATCGCTTAAGATTTGGTTAACTGTGTAAGTAAGAGTGATGTTTCGTCAACAGTATGACACTACCAGAGCCCGCTTGCAAGCATGACGGTAAATGTAAAGAGGCCAATTAACACTGTGAAACAGCAGGAGCCACATTTTGGGGATATGAGTCTACTGCTGATATGCAACACGAGAGGAGAAAGAAAAAGACAATGGCAAGCTGAACTCGTAATAAAAGAGGCAATAAGAAGGAGGGGATGTGGTCATCAATAACAAAGCTAGTGGTATCCGAGTCTACAAGTGTAATTTAATACCTGCTTTACCAGCAGCTTAATATGCACGGAGAGCCCTCAAAAAACAAAGAAAGGAAGTGGAAGAAGAGAGTGAAAGCCTGTAAAGAAGACATTGCCTACCTTCCTCAGTGCTTCGAGAAACTTGTGCTGCTTGCTTTTTTCGTGCTGAAAAAAAAAGTCACAAGAATGAACGAAAAGAAGAGTCATTGCAACAATATAAAGGGTCAATCACAAGGCATCAAAATAGAGAGAGATCCTTGCCACACATGCAAATGACAGCAAGAGGCATACGCCCGATGAAAACGAGACGATCTTGCTGTATGAAAGATGCACAGATAGTACGCTATTGTGACAACGTAGAACTCTACCTAACGCACTCACAAGATAGCTTTTCGACTAAAAAGAGGAGAATCCTCGACGTGAGCTGTGTCGCGTTTTACCTCTCGTTTCGTTCCCAACGAAGGCAGCAGCAGCTGGCATATGTCACAGTACAGCTCCGCTGCAAAGACACAGGGCAGTCATTCATTAACCGTCGCAAGAGTACAGGACAGAGACGGCAAACAATGATTCGCAGGAACTTACGATTTTGGGGTTGTTTGTCTGTGGAATCCGTGACCTCCTGCAAAGAGGGAAAAATAAAATGTATCTCGAAATGCCACACCCATCACTCTGATCAAGAATCGAATTCAAGCTACTGCAGCAAAAGCACAGCTCCGGTAAGAATGACGGAAGATGAGTTGCAAGTTTGTATGCATTTTTAAAGTTGTACACAGGATTAGCAGTACATGGCCCATAAGTGCTGGGTTTAAAAAGCAATTGAAATATCCTTCAATTGAAATAATCAACATATCTAAACAAGAATGTTCAGCTCATTCCTGATGCTGAATTCTCGGTTTACTACGTATTTCACGAATGTCATACGCTACTAAGTTCACAAGATTCCTAAAAATTCATATCATTGAGATTTTTTAAACTAAATATTGAAGTCTTAGTGCAAATGAAGAATGTGCATCATAAAATGGCAGATTCTCCAGTGGAAAAAAAAAAAACTTGTTCAATGAAGATTACCGACATACTGCAAGGCCGATGGTAAACGTCAGCCATCATCACGAGTGGAAGATGGCAGGTACCTCAACTCGAGACCAGCGTGAGGAACCCCCACTTACAGCAGGCTTGTCGTCATTCTTGCTATCCTTGTCAGGAGGCGACTTTTCACCTTTGAGAAACTTGCACAGAGTTTCTTTGTGCCTATCACTGGCCAGGTGCTGCAAAAACCGTGAGCTGAAAGCCTCGCTTGGTACAGGTTCTCTCACATTTTGGCAAAAACAAAAACCAAAGTGTACAGGTCTTCTAGATGTGTCTTTTCATTGCAAAGCAACGAGAAGGCAGCAGGCGTAACAAACCTCACACCTCACTTACAGCTAATGGTTGTCAGTTCAGATAAACCCCGCTGCTTGGTTGGGCAACCCTATAAAAAACCTCCAAAGTTGTACTGACTTCAATAAACCTACAAGGATTGCAGCACATTGTCAACCTTGCACTAGAGTCCAAGTGTTTATGCTATGCTCGACTATCCACTGCTCACTGAGCTTTTTATAGAACCACAATGGTTGGTGCAGTAAACTGACAGTTCTGAGAGTTCCAGGTCTGGTTAGGAAGAACCATATGTGATGCCGGTATCGCACGAAGGCGTCTGACATGAGAAGTTGGCCTACATGTACACCAGGTTTGCCACACACTTTTTCACGACAAATTGCTTAGGTACCCTTGAATGCGGGACAAAATACATTTCATTAAAAGAGGGATAGAAAAGAGCAAAAAGTGGTGGTTCATCTTTTACTCTTTGGCATCCCTCTTTTCATGGAATAGATTTTGCACCACAGTCATGCACACTCAAGAGATTCAAGCGCCAACTTGCCCACGAAGAAGTACTTTTGGAATACTGCATCCACCACAAATGTTTTCAACAACGTAATCTCAGAACCTCAGCTCGGAGTCCATCTAGGAAAAGTTCGAGCCAACACATATTACCTTTTGTGATCACGTATTATACCAAGAGGAAAGCACAATAAGCGAGATCACACGGCAGTCTATAAACACGACAAAATTGTAAATAGTCTAGTGCTTAAATACAACTTTTTGCATTAGCACTGTTTGTAAACTGCGATTTGCCGACCAGGTACTGCTTCTGAAGCCCTTATAAAGTTCCCAAGCAATAATTACAGTAGAATAGCTTCCGAAGATGACCTCCGAGAGTCATTGGTGTGAATGAACCTCAAACCTATTGATTTCAAGTCATTCAACTAAAGCATTGCATTCCTAAGCCTCCCTATGCTCACCACGCGAAACTTGGCGTGCGGTGAGCATCAATATCTTTAACGGGAACACAACAGCAGCAAAGTTGTCAACTCACTTCGTTCAGCTCAAAGGCAGACTTGCTGAACACATGGCAGATGTCACACAAGTAGGGTATTGGTTGGGGACGAGTCTTTTTATCTGCAAACCACATTTCACAGGTGAGGCACTGGTTTGCTGCATGGTATCTGACCAGAATGCAGCAATGCATTGAACCAGGTAAGTTGCTTGCCCTTTATAAGCTGGGGGCTCAACACCGACGCTGTGCCAATTAACAAACGAGCAGCAGGATGGATAACTAGTCCAAGATGTCAGGTAACGCAGCTATAATTTTAGGCATAGCCCACTCCTGCCATGATGGAAATTTTGTTTTAACACACCTTCTGCATTCTGAGCATCTTTAGACTCCCAAAAGCAACATGTACATAATGTTATGAATGAGGACGTAGTACAAATTAAACACAATAAGGATATTCTGTTGGAAACCAATTTGTTGATAAAATCGAGCATGCTGTTTGTAGATAACTAAAGTGAAAGCTTCCATTTTTCAGCTAGAACAGATAGCTGCGAAAACGGTACACATGTAAAAGCTTCGGTACATCAATGCAGATAAACACACTCGACTGTACAGAGTCAGCTGTTACATAGTGTGCCATACTTACTGCTTAAAATTTCATCCTTTACATTAAAGAAGCATTTAATGTCATCGTATACATGTTTAGACACAAAAATCTCCCACGCAGTTGTCTTTGAAGAAGTGTGGCAAATAAATGGCAAATCTGTGGTGCACATGAGTGCTTTACGATGTGCGTGACTTCGTGAGTGAGCACACTTACTTCTGAGGTCTCCCTCTGAGATACTAAAGGCCAGTGATCTATTATGCCACCAACGGGTACGACAACTGTAGAAATAGCGCAACTAGCCACATCCTACCATTTGCCACGACTGGCAGTGTATAAGTGCAATCATACAAATCTACATAAGAAAATAAATACAGTAAATTGAATCTACGAGTTAAACCTCAAAACAATTAAACCTGCTTATAACGAATTCCTCTATATAAATTTTTTCTACTCTCTGCCGTTGCTTCATACAAGCAGATATACTTGCGACCTCTATTCAACAAAGTAACAGCGAGAGGCAACCTTGACATAACGAATTTTCCCTATGAACAATCTAGGAAGTCTGCCCCTGATTTTGTCATTTTGGTATGAGCATGCCGTTTCCGCAGGCGCACCGCCGCCGATGAAGTGGCAGCAAGCACTCGGTGCACTCATGGCCCTGGCAGCAACCAGGCGAGCGAGCGTTCGTTACTGCGTGCGGGCCTGTACTCCATGAGCCGCCGTTGCTGCCGTTCTTGCCGCCGCGGGCACATGCGCGGATGTGCCCTCCAAACCAAACACACAAAAAAAGACAACTACTTTTGCATTTTCAGTGCCATGCTTTTAGTTAGCATCACATGAGGGACATCGCTGTGCATGAAGGGCAATTTAGCGAATAGCGTTCCGCAGTATTCGTGTCGTTCACTCTCGATTTTCCCCGCTGTGCATGCGTGGATGGTATTACTTAGCACGCATGGTGTGACCCCCAACGACACAAGATTTGTTTTTATTTTATTTTTTCTTAAATGCGGACAACAGTGTCGTCCCGGACAAGGGGATGTCCGATTAGGCGCTGATGCAAACTCTTCGATACAACGGTGACGACGGACCTTCGGAGGTGGACTCGTGACGTGCTTACTTCTTGCGCTAGACCGCGAGTTTGCATGCTAGCAGCCTTCGCGATTAGCGATTAGCTTTGGCAACAACACGACGGTGCTTTGAATGTAATGCAGTGAACGCGACAGCGAAAAATTGTACTGTCATACAAATTAATAAAGGCCGGCAGCCAACTCTTTTCGATCAGATATCGCGGAACTCTTACAAAACACTGGTGGGAGCGAATAGGGCGACTCCAGGAAGAAGTGCCCTTTTCACACAGTCTCTTCGCGTTGATGGCACACTGATATACAAGTCGAGATACCACGTGTGCCAACGATTGCGACCGCCTTTAAAATAAAGTTCTTTGTTGCTACTTGAGCGACCCCCCCCCTGCCCCTGCGTTTTTTGTTGCTCGTTAAAGACGGATGGTTTCCTCTGTACGAGCATTCGACAGCAGTTCTGAGACGTGCGGGATGTTATCTTGTGTGCCTTCCAGGTGATAAGAGATGGGCCAACTCATTTGATCTCTGCTTCAGCAGCGTTCGCGCTTTTACCCGCTTGTGCAAGTTACAATGTGCAGGAGCTTATCAATTTAGGCTTGTTACGGAACATGGCGGCGACAGCGAAAACCTGCCGAGAGTGTCCATATAATTTCTACTGCAATAATGACACAGTTTTTTTACCGCTAAATAAGCGTTTTTGGTTAGCTGTGTTTTCATCCACCCGTTGATTTAATTGTGCATTTATTTTCCAAATTTTTGTACCGAACCTGCATATAACTACATGTCCAAAGAGCACCACGTACGTTTCACCTGTATATTAATGATCAGTAATATCTAGTGTCACCGAGGCAGACCGAACCAATAAAGTGAAACTCAGGCTAGTGCCAGTCATAAAATTTTTCAGCTACACACAGTTTTCGCAAATGTGTTCTTTAGGCCACGCAAAATTCGCAAGAAATCTGCCGCCAAGTACTAGCGTCGTCTACGGTTAGAGGTGGAGGAGGGGACGAAGGAGGAAGGTGTGTAGTGCTACTTGTATCATGCACTCTACGTAGCAGTGTAGTTTTATATATTCAGTTCCCAGAGTCCTTTGCGTCAACACCCGATTTGGTGTTGTCCTCTCTGTCGCATTGCAAGCAACTGGCATGAGCAGCTGTACAGGTGACAGTACTCAATGCGGAGTAATCGCTTATCATGCAAATCATGCAAAGATTCTTGACTATTTAGAAAATAGATGTCGCCAACAAGGTCATCTTTCAGGCTATCTTGAATGGCGAGAAAAAAAATGTACTTCGTTGCTATATATAGAATACGCTCAAACCTCGTACAACAAAGCTGCATCTTACACAAAAATAAGTTCATTATATCCAAAATTTCGTTACACATGTTCATTCTAAACACTATATTTATTGCTAGACTATTTTTCATTTAATTCAGCACATCTGGTTTCATTATATCGTGGTTTGAGTACATTATGCAGCTTACTCGCTGCGCTCCTTGAGGTGAACGGATATTTTCTGGACTAAGAAGTAGCGAGAATTTCTAGAAAAGGCAATCAGAGTTAGTAACTAGCGCTTTTTCAGCAAATCAAGGCTTTTTCGCTGAGTTCCCAGCTACATCATGTTTTTAAGTAGCTGACCAATTTTTTTTTATTAGCTGCTCATTGTAACTTATCGCACCGCTACCAACTCACCAAAATCACTTGGCCATTTCATGATGAAACTGATTTACAAGACAACTGCTGTGCCATTGCATTACAGCGACTAAAATTTGGGGTGCCCAACTGGATCTTGCTCAATTTTTCTACTATAATGTGCAAGTAAGGCCGCACAAGACGGAACGTGGGGTAGCCATAAAGAAACATGTCGTAATTCGGGACATTATACCTTGCTATCGAGTAGTCTTCAATCAAAGCTCGTTCAGTTTTGTGGTAGAAATGCGATAGGTTAACACTAGATAAATAAGACCGAGTGGAGGTCGTAGTGGGCAGGTTTTAAAAATAAGCACGAACAGGACAGAGTGCAAGATGAGGACAAAGTACGAGTGCTGTCTAACAACTGAAGTTTCTTGAAAAAAAAAATGCAATGAAAAGCAACACCGTGTGTTCAGTAAATGCACAATCAAACCTCATCATAACAAAGTTGCATAATACACAAAAATAAGTTTGTTATACACCAAAATTCATTACAAACAATTATTTCTCATAATATATCTAGTACCTGACTATTTTTCATTTACTTCATTATCACCATATATTTCCTTATACCTGGCTTCATTATATCGAGGTTTGAGTGCACTAACAAAAGACTTCCCCAGTGCAGTAATACCTTTATGGGAGCACCAATGTCTTTTTTTTTCCAGCCCATCGCAGATCATGTGGTTATCCATTTTTTTTTTTTTTCAATAACATAGTCATGCTGAAGCCCAGAGGCAAAAGCCTTGGCTCGCCCGCTTCTTTGCTATACTGCAAGGTATGCATGTTTAACCCTTTCTCTGACAAGGCCTAAAGTTTTTGCCCGTGCATGAAGTTCATTTTTGTTGTATTCATCATTTTTTTTCTGTTTCAATAAACTTCAGTTGTTAGACAGTGCTTGTACTGGGTCCTTCTAGTCTTGTGTTTCACCCTTCCTGTTCATGCCGACTATTACAAACAAGCGACGTTTCTAACTTGCCCATCTCTATACCTTGTTGGGCCATGACTGAGGTTTCGAAGACAAATCGCAATGGTGAAATGCATGCAGCAGCTTCATTCACACCCATTACTACTGTGTTACACCTGCGGTTCTTTACACTTCCTGCACGTTGTATGGCCGCATGACAGTGACATTGTCAAAGCTGCATCAGACTAAATATGGCGACAGACTCCCAGCCTCTACAAAGCTGCGTTTTCTTTTTTGTCGAAGCTACCTTTTCTGCTATTTTATAACTTGATAATTTCTAGCAGAACTTTTTATGAAAAAGGAAATAAATTATCAGCAACTCTTCTTTTTATTTTACTGGCTATGTTATATCGAGGCTCAATAATTAGCTCTACAGGTACAAAAAGCAAATGACCAATACAGTTTCAACTAAAAAGTGAGAACAACACAAACAACTCGTACAATGCGTTGCACTACAGTGCAATAGACCTACCTTTCTTCGGTCGGTGTGATCGAAAGAAATCGAGCTCGTTGCGTAAGGTTGGCTGCTCATTCAATTCATCGAGCAGATTAAGCTGGTACTTGTCCCGCACCTGCAACCGGCAAGAAACTCAGGCCGTGGAAACTACCTCAAATGCAAAGAGCATTTTAGTCAAGCCCATGTGGTCACACGATAGTTCGTGTCAGCCAAGCTGAAGTCACGTTCTCCTCAAGATCGTGCCCAGAGACACGGCAAAAGGTGTCCTTGCTATACGCTTAGCCATCAACACTCTCTGCCATCTTGCCAACAAGTGCAGCATGATGGCCATGTACAAGGGCATGGTCAGGATGTAACAACAGCAAATGTTACCATGCGTTTTGTGACCATGCATTTGGAAGCGATGCACAGGCTGAGAAGTGATATTCAAACCATGGGGGCCCCTAAGGAGCATGCACGTCTCGTGCGTACAAAAACAAGCTTTCTGTTGTCTTTGCACACGAGTGCACATGGCATGCCTTGTGCTAGGTATGGGCGCGGAGTGTGTGTGCGCCTGCCGTGTGCAATGCATGCATTTGGCAAGGCACAACGATCGCCCAGCACGACAACCAGTGACCTGCAAAAAACAGACGGAGTAGTGTTAAACACCCACAAATGCAAGCCCTTCATACGAACAACTGCTGCTGCCTGCCACTCACCTGCACTGCACGGTGCTTGCCATTTGGCGAGCCCTCCAACCCGCCCAGTACGGGCTGAAAGCATGGGTATTCACCTTGGCGCTGGCAGTTCTGTCAGCTCCTTTGCTGTCTGGCACCTTGTCCTCTCCTTTGTCCTTTTTTTCTTTCTTCCCGTCCTTGCTTGTGTCCTTCTTCTTGTCTTTGCTTTCATCCTTCTGCTTGTCTTTCTCGTCATCCTTATAATTTTTGGTCTTGTCGTCTGCATGTGGCACACATAGCAGATAGGCTAGCGCACACGCTTCGGGCAACATCGCTAACCAGCTGTTTACGCAACAGCCAGGACAGATGACAAGATTCGTTAGTTTGATTAAACTTATAAATATCTACTTAAGCATCCATTATGCAGTGCCTCGAGAGTGCAACGATTAATCACCTTAATACAGACTAATGCGCTCAGCTGAAAATGCACTAGAAGTTCAGCATGGTTTTCGATGCAAAAAACTAGATTCCTCTCATGGTAGCAGAAACAAATAATGTGGACCTCATGACACCATGATCGCACTGCTAAGCGCTGCCCACTCAACACCCAACAGTGAAGGAATAGACTGAGTACTTGCAAGAGAAGCAATGAATCAGACGGGCTGTTTTAGCGGCAACCTTCAGTGATCCGGTCGCTGTAGGCCCCTGGACAACTGCACCAGACTGACTGGTATGCTCTTAAATTGTCCAGCAATACTCAATCGCGACTGAGTATAGCCGAGAAGACATGACCCCTGGAGACACATTCTAAAAGGAATATACTTTCTTAGTGCACAGAATGTTTCGGAAAAGAAGTCTTGGTTAAGACAGAGCGCACTTCTATCCGACTTCATTCCAGAAATGTTCTGTGCACAAAGAAAGTATATTCCTTTTAGAATGCAATACCTACCAATCCAAGTAGGCAGCCATCCCTTTAGAGATGCGAGCTAGTGTACTCTGCAAACCAGCATTTCCAGTCCCCTTCGGTAGTCTAAAGGTTCCTTGCATACTGTTTTTGCATACGTCGAGTCAACTCCACAGCCTTATCAATTTAAGAGATTTTTCATGGTCCTATTGACTTAAAATACTAAAGGCTTTACTATAATACATTGGCAGTGCGTCCTCGTTGCATTAAATCCCTACCCAACATGTTTTTCTCGTCGCAGCTACCGCTGCTCAGTTGGTACGCTCACCTGATTTCTCTTGCTTCTCCTCCGCGATGTGTTTTTGTAGAAAGGCTGCAGAAAGCAGAGACAGCAGTGTGAGAGCACAGAAAAAGCGATTCACATCAATTACCCTCAAACAAGAGTGTTCGCGTACGCAAAGGATCTGCTCGTGCGCACGAGAGGGTGGGCAACACTGCCACCAAAGTCTAACGGGCTGTGCTCTCGAATAATTATGTTGGCACCATACCTTCCACAACAGTGTACCACGCTCACACCTCGACATAACGAACCTAGATATAACAAAGTAAATGAGAAATAGTTCTTCAATAGCTATAATATTTGAAATATACTTTCATAACGAGTTTTTGGAAATGATGAACTCATTTTCATGTAAGATGCAGCTTTGTTATAATGAGGTTTAAGTGTACTAGGCACGGGCACAGTTAAGTATTAGTGCGGTATACTTCATTACATAGTTAACGAGATATGGTGCCAAAGCCTAGGCCCCAAAGTGTAACAGTTAAATAAGCGAACTGCCAATTTGCCTCTACACGAAAAGTCAGAAGAATGTGTTTGTCGGCACTCACCAGACAGAATCTGGTGGTATGGTAATTACTGCATGCATCAGGTTTCTCTCAACCCACTCAACACTGCAATTCATGTGGAAAAATACAAGGGAATGCGGCAAGGCGCTGATTCTCTATTGTTTTCAGACTTAACTGATCATCTGCTAACACTACAACTGACAGAGAAAGCATCTGCTTGTGTATAGTGGCTCTAACACCAAAGCAAAGTAGTCCGAACAGATGTCCTTTTTGTACTCCAGTCTGAGATCTATAGAAGCAATTTTTGTAATAACAGTAACCCTAAATTCCACAAGCGAAACCTACAAAAATCTTTTTATGAGCTAATTTTTGTCAGTACACTATGTTAAGTCAACACCTGATTTTTTAGACTAAATCTACACTTTGTTCCTACATTGAAAGCGAGAACCTCGTTCTGGCTGACTTGCTGCCTTCAGGTAGTATGGGAGAAATTATTGGTCAGCTGCCAGCTCGTTTAGTTCACGGGCGTCTCTCATAATCATATCGTGGTTTTGGGACGTTAAACCCCACAAATCAATCAATCAATCGTTTAGTTCACGTTATGGTGCTGCCCACACGTGGCGCCATCTATCAGCCCGTGTCTTTAGCAGAGCAGAAAAGCAAAAGGGAGTGGCCGTGTGGCGGAATGCCCGCGAAATGGTCCCTGGCGCGCCTCAGATCCCCACAACATGCTCTATGACGCCAAATATGAAAAATCCATGAACAGGGGTCGTGTCGAGTCGACGTTTTGACAAGCGGCCTTGTATTCCTCAAGGACGACAAGTCCACTAGTCGAAACGTCGGCTCGACACGGCCCCTGTTTACAGATTTTTCATCGCGAGCTTCCATCTTCCCCTTCCTATAGTCTTTTGGAAGGTGCCAAATAAGCAGATAAAGAGTGTTCCACACTCGCCGTCATGGCTGCTGATGGTGGTGGTTGACGCTTCCACGTTTAATGCACATATATACCCCATAAACTTGCCGGGGGGGTGGGAGCCACCGTGGTAGCTCAGTTGGTAAAGCCTCGACGTGTTATTTCAAGGTCCCTGGTTCTGTTCTTGCCCAGGCAAGTTATCTTTTCGTTCGCTTTTCTTTCTACACACTTAGATTACGATTACTTCTAATAATGTCCCCTATACCTTGGATGGCATGATTGTCTGTTAGATCTGATTAATAATGTGCCTAACAAAGAGAACAAGCACTTATATGTACACTTCTTTTACCATGAAATCATAAATACAAAAATAGAATAAACTCGTGCCTTTTAACTAATTTCGAGTGTTCAAAGTGCCATGGACATATTCAAAAGACCTCTCATGGCATGCAGGTGCATTTATTCTGTGTTCTGGTGGCCATAAAATAAACGCTTGTGAATGTGGTACAGTTATAACTCATTTTAAATAAATGACAAATACATGCCAATCATTTCGTTTAATCAGAAAATTATTAAAATTGGGAAAAAAATTTTTCAGTCCTTTGATACTTTGATAATTTTGGTCTGTCTGCCTGCCTGTCTGTACATTTGTCTGTTTGTCCACTCTTAACAGCATCGGGTATTTGAAACGGCTGACCCCATCCGCAGCGCCCACCTATGTTGCTCAAGATTCAGCGTTCATACTTGTGCAATTGTCGATTAAAAAGCAATTATTGCACGTGTCTGGGGCACCATAACAACACGTATACATTCTGCATGTGCGCCTTTTACTATACCGGCCGGCCGGCCGGCCGGCCGGCCGGCATTTTAAGGCTTCAGCATTTTAAGGACCGTAGCGCCTATCACGCTGTGCTGACCATCCAACGCTTGCACAGAAAGGCGAGTGTTTCCAACGCTTTGCTAAAACGAGATGGTGGTGGCACCTACCCGTCGCCTTGCATTCTACACGTTATCACCTCTGAGGTGGGCGTGCACACCCGTCTCAGAGCCACGTACTTTGTTTTCCAAGAAAACTGCCAGATGGCGGTCATGTCTCACGTGTGACGTGACTTGATGCGCTCGTTCGCCTACGCTGCACGCTCGAGGCACTCTAACGCAGCGCCTCCAGAATACCATTCACCAATTTTCTTGAGCAGAACATCAAATAAATGTTTTGTTCACTCTCTTCACACGCAAGACTATCGTGTTTCGAGGACATTTGCAGATTAAATGCAGATACGGGGCCAATTTTTTCTAAAGAATGTCAACAAGCCTTTATGTACATATGTGCATGTATACACTGAAATTTTGACATACAAACCCGAATATAACAAAATATTGGTTATAACGAAGCAAATTAAAAATTGTCGAGCAATAAATATAATGTTAGGAATACAACTAACCCTGGATATAATGAAATCAAGAAATTCTTGGTAAAATTTGTTATAAAAAGGATTTCGTTACAATGCAGATCCAGTACAAAAATTTAAAAAATAAATGCACAAGTTAACAAAAGGGAAACTGATGGCAGAGCTAACCCAAAACACTTATTTAGCGATAAAAACTGTGTTGTTATTTTGATAGCAATTACATGGACACTCTCAGCGGGTTTCTGCCGTCGCCACCATGTTCCGTAACACGTACAAATTAAGAACATGCCCCCGCACATTGTATTTTTAACGAGCTGGGTAAAAGCCCGCGAAAGCTGTTGAAGCAGAGACCAAATGAGTTGGCCCATCTCCATAGCCTGGAGGGCACGTACGATGGGGGACCAGCGCTAGATAGATGGCACGCCGAAAAAGAGCACCTGGCGGGGAGTCGCGGCACAACTCAGCAGCTCGCGCCCCGACGACCGGCCGCAGTGTACCACTCCGAGAGCCCGCTCGTGAGCCGCTGCCGTGCTTCATTTTGGAACGAGCAGCTGGAAAAGGCATTGCGCCAGTAATACTGCACTGTGGTTTAGAAAACTAACTTTGCCCGAAGGATACTCTCACATAAAAACCACTGAAAGATGGAGAAAAGCCCTGCAAGTGGACTGCGTTTATGCATATAGTATCAAATGGACAGTGTAGTGCCGTGATGGCAGCTCCCTCATCCTCATTTTCTGGTTGCGTACTAGGTTTTGGGCTAAAGCTAGTGCTGGCTGACATGCCCCCATTAATAAGTCTGTGCTGCTACAATACCATGCTGCCAAAATCTGCAGTAAAACAAAACAAAAACTAAAGCAGAGTAAGTGGTAGCTGTGTCAATTTTTTTCTGGCATAATTTGTACGCCCTAGTCCGCAGGTATGTATGCACGGAGACGTTGATCAAGCAAACCACCGTGGCAGCATAGCACGTGCGGTGTCGCACTGCTATGCTTGAGGGCACCGGGTAGATTAGCGACCACGGCGGCCGCACTTCGGTGGGAGAGAAATATGAAAAGAAGACACCCATAGATATAAGTGCGCATCGGAGAACCCCAAGTGGTCACAATCTTTATACGCACACTACAGCGTACCCCACAACGATATTTTGTTTGGCGCACGAAAGACTAACAATTATCCATGGTGACAGACACCTTCATTTTAGAATGACACAGGCATGCGGAAACACTGAAACTGGGTGTTAGGTGAACTAAACAATGAGTAAAAAAATTGCCCGCAGCTTCCCTCGGGGGAACACTGAGGAGCATGCGGAGCATATAATTGGTTAACGGGGTGTTAAAGTGCGACTTACTTGGGTCGATGGCTAAATTGGTTAACGTGGTTGTGAAATGGGGTGTTAAATTGCGACTTACTTGGGTCGATGGCTAAATTGGTTAACGTGGTTGTAGGAGGGGGTGTTAAATGAGTGAACACGTACACACGTATGCGAAAGGGCGGCGCTGGTCGAAGGGACGTCGATCATTGTGTTTGTGGATTCGTTGGAATTCATTTCACCGCGACCTTGGACGTCGACGCGCCGTACAAACCAACCGACGAGCGGCAACTGAGCGAGCGAGCGCCGACCTTGAGTATATATACAGCGCGACGGGGCATGCGCTGTCAGCTGTCGAATGTTCTCGAAGGAGAAGCGCGCGCGGCACAGATGGTGGGCGACGGCGCGACGGCGCATGCGCGCGCGTCAGCTGTCGAATGTTCGAGAAGCGGTGCGGACGGCGCACTACAAGGCGCGAGTATAAGATGCTTCCGCATCTAAAATCGAAGACATTTTATACTTCTCTAGCAAGGCATAAACTCCGATGTTACTTAGCCATGGCAGTCAGTGAGAAAAACTCTTACCGCATCGCCTGATTCCAGAAATCTAAGCTTCGAGCTGCTTTGTCAGTAACAAGAGCCCTTACTTTTGCACAAATTAAGTTAAACAGAGTCATCTCGGCATCGAGTGTTCACTGCGAGAGTATCTTTTATAACAGCTCAGAGGCGTAGGTGAACGTGGCCACGCACAAGGCTTGTGGACAAGGCAGCTTTCCTTTACATGCAACTGTTTACAAGTAAACAAAAAAAAAGAAGAGTGAGACTACCTGCCTATCGTATCATTCACTTCACTTGGTGGCATCAGATGGAGTTTGGTTGTGGTGGTCAGATGGACGGACGCATGGACACTTTGTTAGTTCTGAAGTGCACGACTCAATGCTCAGCGGGCCAGATAAAAAAATAGTTTACATATGCCCACATTGTACATAACTCACTCGTTTCATTTCCGACAAAACGCCGCTTAAGCTCAACTGTTTGGCCCTCGTTTCCACTGGTGGCTGTCTTCACTATCGAATAAATATAGCAGACGCACGCCGTTCGGTTTCGAAGCGAGCCTGACAGCACTAGACAGGAGAGCGACAGCAGAATTTTGCTCGCCTGAACGCCTGAATGCAACGCCGCTTGTGGGGATCTGAGGCGCGCCCGCGACCATTTCGCGGGCATTCCGCCACACGGCCACACCCTTTTGCTTCCCTGCTCTGTTAACACCACGTGGCGATTGATGGCGCCACGTGCGGGCACGGCGCGCGCAGAGGGAGCGGTCTCTTTCTCCGTGGACAGCGCCGGGTAAGCACGTGTTTTCCTTCGTCCGCGTCCCCTTTGGGAATCGCGGACGGTAGCCTGCCCGGGGTGGCCTTGGGCACCCCGGCAGGCGTGTTTACTTGAGTGTTGGCTTCGGTAGCGTACGCTAAGCCCAGAGCGGTGCCTAGTGCTTGAAGTGGTCGTACCACAACGAGCCGCACTTGCGTTAGGCCTACGCGTACGAAGTTTGCCCTAACACTCGCGACCAGGCCCATTGGCCATAGTGAGAGTGCGCAGCATAGCCGCGAGGGACCTTTTCCCGACCGGCGTGTCAAAGCTCGCCATTGCCAGCTGCGACGTGCTCGCGGTTTTCCCCTTATTGTGAAGGTCCGCGTGCGGGTGCCTTTGCTACCCGCGTCCCGGGAGCGGACGTTGTACTGTTGTTCGGCGTGCCGCCAGAGGCAATAAAGTGTTGTGTACTGTTACATCAGAACACTGTCTATTTGCCGCGCCGCGCTAAACGCCTTATTAGTTGAGCGCGCGCGGAGCGGTGCGCTACACGCGAGTAAACGGAGTAGCGGCCCTGTGGCTCGCTAAGCGTGAACCCGCGGTGATCGTCTGCTGCAGTAAGAGCGGAGGGTCACCATACGCTTCATTTTTCCACATCCTCCCTTTCCTCTATACGCCCTCCCCCTTTTTATATATTGTTGCACTTCAATACGCAGCAGTACCACCAAGCGCCCTTTGGTTTTGTTACGGTGATGCACGCATGCACCGCCTTTAGCAGCCGCCACTTTCGTCTGCGGGAGCAGCTGAGAAGTGTGAGAAGTGCGCGTTCTCACCGCCAGGGTGACTTGTGAAACTTCAGCGCAGGTTCTCTATACATTCCTTAATGTTTTATAACTGCCGTCGAGTGGTCAAACAGAAAGGAAATCACCCGCCTTGAAAGGGGCTCTGCAACACTTTTTGAGCATGATCAGAAAGCGCTGCCGATCAGTAGTAGAGGCTCCCAACAACACGCGAGCCAAATAATATAGCACAGCACGCGGCTTAGAATTCACAATAAATTATCAAAGTCAGCTAAAAATATGCTTTCTGTTTTCTCGACACATCAGGGAATAAGTCCAAAAATCACTCGTAAAAGCCCATCTATCAGCCATTGGCTTATTTGAACGTGGTGCGCTCGGTCGTTACAGAGATTGCCGCGGGAAGCCGCGACTTGTCCACGCATGCACGATCACACCAAAAAAGCCGTGCATTCGGAGAAAAAAAAAGTGCTCAAGGTCACGAAGCGCATGCGACGTTTTTTCTTTGCGCTTGCCATCCCTCCCTGCTTAGCTTCCAGCGCTTTTGTCGGGACAAGAGAAGAGAGAATGCAATCATAGGATGCAAAGAACCTTTATAACTCCACTCGCACTGGACGGATTTTTTAATTTTTGCGACATTTAATTAGTGAGGCAATAAGCTCTCCCAAAAAGCTCAGTCCATGGTTACTTGAAAAAGTGTTTCAGGGCCCCCTTAAACAAGCATTAAAAAATGCAGGGGGGGGGGGGGTCGCTTGAGTAGCAGCGGTGAACTTTGATGTTAAGGGCGCGGCCACGATAACTGGCACGCACGCTATCTCTGCAAGCATCAGTGCGCTTTCAACATGAATAGACTGTGTGAAAGAGCTTCGCCCTGGAGTGGCCCTATTTGCTTACACCAGCGTAATGTAGGAGTTCCACGATATCCAATAGAAAAGAGTCAGCTGCCAGCCTTACTTCGTGTAAAATCACAATTTGTTGTTACCGCATTCATTGCATTGCATTCAACGTGCCGTCGTGTTGTTGACAGAGCTAATTAGCTAATTGCGAAGGCTACTGTCCCGCAAACTCGTGGCGTGGCACACAAAGGAAGCGCATAAAGAGTTTTCATCAGTGGCTAATCTACCATCCTCTCGATAGTGAAAACAGGGATGTCAGCATTAAAAAAAAACAAAGCTGAACGTCCCATGGGGTCACTCCATGCGCGCGCAGTGAAACCATGCAACACACGCACAGCATCAAAAACAAAGAGTGAATGACAAATGCCGCTGAAAACTATTCCGTAAAACGTCTCCATATGCAGCACGACGTATCCCCACATTTGAAACGTTAACTAAAAGAGTGGAACTGCCAACTTTTTGGTTTGGAGGGAGGGCACATACAGGCATGTGTCTGCGGCAGCAATGCCAGCTCTAGGGGTGCAGACGCGCCTGCCCACCTCGCACTTGCTCTCGCTGAACGCGCCTATTCGCGCTTCATCAGCGGCAGGGCAACCCCGTAAGGTGCATGCTCGTGCCAAAATGACAAAATCCGTGGCGAAAATCCTGGATTGTCCGTAACAAAAATTCACTCTATCACGGATGTCTTCCGCTGTTACTTTGTTACATAGAGGTCGCAAATACATGTGCTTCTATGGTGCAACGGAAAGCAATAGAAAAACTTCCTTATATTGAGGAATTTGTTATATGGAGGTTGGTTATGAGCAGGTTTAACTGTATATCCTTATTACGAATTTTTGATTATAACAAACCTATTTTTCTGCCAAATGCAACTCTACTATAATAATGTTTGAGTGGACATACAAATCAAGAAATAAAAAATGACAGCTGTGCGCATAGGAACACCACCAAGCACAGGCTCAGTGTGCATCCTCGTCAAAAACTTGCCAGGGATGCCTGAGCTATGCACATTGAATTTTCATTTGCTAACTTGGCTTTGGTTCTCGGTGCATGCGCCAACCACGCCGCAAGCAAACGAACATCTGTGCACGTAATATTGACCGTTTCAAACTATTGTAAAATGCCTAAAGCAAGTAGAGTTGTCAAGCTCCCACAACACCACAATTTTCCTTTTGCAAATCAATGAAGGGCCTACTATGCATCTTTAGGGTAATGAACAAATTTACACAGCTGTTCACTTTGTTGATGCTTT